CGAGGAAGCGGTGGCGGGCGAGTGGGCTCTGGGTCCAGAGAGGTCCCTGCCCTGCCGCGCCCCACACCTGCCCCGGCCCCGCCGCTCCCGCCCCTCCCCGGCCCGGCCCGGCCCGGCCCGGGGCGGGGGCACCGGCTCCCGCTCCGCCCCGCCCCGCCCGCCCGGACTTTACCTCCCGGCCGGGCCCGCGCCGTTCCGGGCCATGTGAGCCGCGGGGCCGGGCCGCGGGGCCGCAGCGGCTGCGGGATGGAGCGCAGGAAGGTCTTCGTGGCGCTCGACGTGCTGTGCCTGGCGGTCGGTGAGGGCTCCGTACCGGCGCCCCCGCCGCGGGCGGCTCCGGAGCGTCTCCGCGTCCCGCGGGTGCCCTCGGTGGGGCCGCGCCCCGGGCTGGGGCCAGGTCCGCGGGCGGTACCGTGGGTCCGCGACCCCGCCTCGCGTCTGCCCGCTCTGGCCCGTGGCCGGTGCCGCCGGGCCGGGGACAGCGTGGAAGCCACCTGCCCGGCCGCTGTCCGGGGCTCCGGGCCTCCACCGAGAGCCACCGGGGGCGGGCGGGCGCCGCCTCCTGCCCCAGCCCTGCCGGGCTCCGTCCGGGGTCCCGGTTCTCGGGGCCGTTCCCTTTTCCGGGAACGATCCCGCGGGGGGGCGGGAGCCCGGTCTGTCCCTGGCTCTGCGGGAGGGTCCCTCGGCTCGGGCGGCACCGGGACGCTTCCCCCGCCGCCCTGGCCGCCTGCCCGCCGCCGAGCCCCGCGCTCCGCGGGCGGACGGAGCGGGGCCGGGGGCTCCGCAGCTCCGGGCCGGTGGGTTCGGAGCACCCCTTCTAGGACCCCCTCGCCCCCCCAGTGCGGGTAAATATTTCTAAAACTGCCGAAAGGAAGTAACGAATTAAGACGGACTAAAAATAAAGGCCCCGATCGGGATCGCGGCTGGAGCTTCCCTGGCTGCGGGGCGGGGGGAGGCCGGGTCCCGGTGCCGCTCGGAGCGCTTTTCCCTCCTGTGGGCCGGTGCTTTATATTTTTAGGGGAGCTTTTTTTGGAGGATGAAATTATCCAGAAAGAAAATTGGTGTCTAATTTGAGCTGAAAATGGACGTCTGAGGTGTGCGGGGAGGAGGAGGCGGAGGGACTGGGGCCGGTTCCCTGCTCCGGCCGGGGGTGGCGGGGCAGCCCCCGGTGCTTCATCCCCGCGCTCGCTCGGCGAGCTCAGGAGGCGGCGGGACCCCCGGGGCGGGGACGGGCGGGGACAAAGGTGCGGGCTCCCGGGAGACGGAGGAACAAGGGGAGGCGTAAACCGCCGAGAAAGGCGGAACTGGGAGAGGAACCCGACCTAAGGTGGCCTCCGGGGAGGGGGCCCGCTTCCCTGGGGAGCGTCCTGGAACCCGAGCTTGGCTGTACCTGAGCAGGGATGGAGCAAGGGCAGGGGGTCCCATTCCAGCGGGGGGCTGTGCGGCGCAGAGACCCCCAAAACCCCTCTGGATCTCGGGGACGGTTCAGTCCCTGGTGAGCTGAGCCAGCCAGCGCAGCCTCCAGAGCCCCGAGGAGCCGGGGGAGAGGAGAGGTTGGGAGAAACAAAAGCTGTGGGAGGATGAGGAGGGCAAACCAGGTGCACTGGAGTCCCACTGTGCCTGGGCTGGGTCGTGCACCAGCATCTCCCAGCGCTGGCTCTCTGGAGCTGCTGTGAGGGTTCTGGGACCCTGTTTTACCTGGGATTGTTTTACCTGCTGTAAAGCAGGTTTGCAGGATGCCTATGCTCATTAATTTTATCAGCTCTGTATTCCTAGGCTGAAAGACTGGGCAGTGTAAGGAGAGGGCATGGGATCAGGCCTCGCCACTGTTGTGCCTGGGGAGGAGTGGGGCAACCACAGAGGCTCTGTGGGTGCCCGTTTGTGGCCGTCTCGTGTGGTATCTGGGTGCTGCAGGCATCTGTGAGCTCTGATAGGGCCCTATCGCTGTCAGGGCAGTGCACTGGTGGGCTCAGGTCCTCCTGCCCTGGGTACAGGTGGCTCAGGGCCTCATCCCCTGGGGGGGATTCCTCCCTGGCATCAGGGAGCAGAGACTTAGGGATGAGAGATGGGTGGTGCTGTGTGCTGGTGTGGAGCCTGCTGGCCGCTGTCCCCAGGCCTCACCTCTTTCTGCTTTGCAGCATCTCTGCCCTTCATCATCCTGACCCTGGTGAACTCCCCATACAAGCGAGGCTTCTACTGCAACGATGACTCCATCCGCTACCCCTACAAGGCAGACACCATCACCCATGGCCTCATGGCCGGGGTCACCATCAGCTGCACTGTTATCATTGTAAGGAGCTGCCACCCCCTTTCCTCTAGGACAGGCTCATGCTGACATGTTGTATCTGGAAGCTGGGGCCCAGCACAGCCACCTCCAGAGCCCTGGAAGGGCAACAACACCCTCAGCTTGAGACCCACATCCCATGGGACTGGTTCCCTGCAGGGAGGGGGAGAGGGCCCGTGAGCTCCTGTGGCAGGTGGATGCCAGGGGCTCCTCTGCTACAGAGCCACGACATCCTGCACCCCTGGGGAGCTGCTCAGGAGCACCCAACTTCACCTTTTGCCCCCTGGTCTCTGCAGATCTCATCAGGGGAGGCATACCTGGTCTACACTGACCGTCTCTACTCCAAGTCAGAATTCAACAACTACCTGGCTGCTCTCTACAAGGTGGTTGGGACCTTTCTCTTTGGGGGGGCCATCAGCCAGTCCCTGACCGACCTGGCCAAATACATGATTGGCCGTCTCCGGCCAAACTTCCTGGCTGTCTGTAATCCTGACTGGTCCAAGGTGAACTGCTCCATCTACGTGCAGCTGGAGAATGTCTGCCAGGGAGAGAGCAAGAACATCACCGAGTCCAGGTGAGCCATGGTGCCGCAGGATATGTCTCTTCCACCTGCCCAGCAGTGCTGGACTCACAGTGCCAGCCCCAGATGGGTATTGAGGCTCTCTTGTTGCAGGACAGAGCCTGTGGAGGGGGTAGGGGTCTTGTGGGGACCAGCTGGGGGCTCGCTCCTGGCCTGACCCCTCCTTTTTGCCCCACAGACTGTCCTTCTACTCGGGACACTCTTCCTTTGGGATGTACTGCATGATGTTCCTGGCGGTAAGTGCCGTGCCACAGGAAGCCCCCATGGGTCCCATGCCCCAAGCACCCCATCCCTGGGCTGGCTGCTGACCCTGCCCTGGGTGATTTCTCCCTTCTTTGCTGCCCAGCTCTACGTGCAGGCCCGGCTGGTGGGGAAGTGGGCCCGGCTGCTGCGTCCCACCATCCAGTTCTTCCTCATCGCCTTCGCCATCTACGTGGGCTACACCAGGGTGTCCGACTACAAGCACCACTGGAGCGATGTGCTGGTGGGGCTGCTGCAGGGGGCTCTCATTGCCGTCCTCATTGTGAGTGTCCCCTGTGCAGCCCTGCTGCTCGCCTGGGCTCCTGCTTGGCCTGACACAGGTGTCCCCAAACCGCCTTTCCCGTCTCTTTTCCAGGTCCACTACGTCTCTGACTTCTTCAAGCAGCGTCCCCCGCGGCAGTGTGAGGAGAAGGACCCGGAGCGCAAGCCCAGCCTGCCCCTCACCCTGAGCGACCCCGACCACAATCACTACAGCTACCGGGGTGCCCCGTGAACTGCAGACCTGCCCCTTGCCGTGCTCCTGGCTCCGGGGACAGGGACTCTGGCTCTGTATTAACCATTGGCTCCACGGCTCTGGTGCCTCTGGCTGACACAAGTGGGACAGCCCTGCCTGTTCCCGCTCCCACAGCGCCGCGGCGCCTGGCTCCCCGTGCCCGTGGTGCTGCCGGTACCTGGCGATGCCCTGCCCGTGGGAAGGGGATGTCCTCACCCACTGTGCGTCTGAGTCACGCCCCAAGGCTGCTGTCCCAGCCCTCCGTGTGGAGGAAGGGAGGGAGGGGAGAGTGGCACACGTGGGGGTGGATTTATTGGGCTGGCAAAGCACACTGAGTGAAGAGCAAACTCCCTTGGGAAGTCTGAGATTGCCTGGGCCGAGTGTGTGTTGTCCCTGTCAAATTATCCAGCCATACAAGTACAAATCCTCACAGGCACAGAGGGAGGAGGACAGCTGCTGGGGCTAGCTATACTTTTTTGGAAAGGATTAAAGCAATCCAGAACTCTTCTCTGCTCCATTGATTACCTTTAAGAGCAGTCCTGCCCGCCAGCAGCTGCTGTGAGCAAAGGGTACCTGGGCAGGCTCTTCTCTGGCTGTGCCCAATTCTGCAGTGCTGGGAGCCAGAGCTCTTTGCCCCCTGGCTGCTTCATGCCTGGCTTGGGCAAGGGGATGCTCCAGCCTTTGTCCCTCCTGCAGCTTCAGCTGATGCTTTAGGGTGTGTGGTGGGGCTAGGGAGACATTTTCTGTGGTAAAGGAAAATGGGGATGTGGAGCTGTCCAAATGTCCTGGGAAGGTGGGGGCAATGGGTACAGAGCAGTCCCATCACTGACACGTGGCTGCCTCCAGCACTGGAGTGCTGTGGGTCTCTTTTTAAAATACATGCATTTTCATTATGATGTTGTTTTTAAATTAGATCATCCTTAAAGAATGTCTGTGTCAGGCCTGTTCTCTTTTTTCATGGATGCTCCTGGCCATGGAGTGGATGGGCTGAAGTGTTTGGGGTTTCCTTTTCCCAGGGAAAGGTGTCTGAAGCCCCTCAGCTGTAGGTGGGGGCTGTCAGGGCTCCAAAGCCATTCCCCCAGTAGCCCTGAGAAAGGCTGACCAGGGCTGCTGGGAGCAGCAGCATCCTCGAGCCAGGTGCTCCTTGCCTGTGCTGCCTTTGAGGTGTCACATTCACGGGGGCTGTGCTTTGGCTGGGCAGCCCTTTGAGCCGAAGAAGAGATGTGGCCGGTGTGGGGCTCCAAGATTCCATCCCGGGCAGGTCCATCCTGCTTTTGCCCTGATCCAGGAGCCTCCTGCAGTCCCCAGCATCGCGGCGCTGCTCCGCGAGCGAGGAGGGAAAGCAGGGAGAGGCTCTTGGAAAAAATGACGCTTTGTGCCTGCAGCTCTCGGCTGCTCCGGCAGCTGGAGCCGAGGGAAGGCAGGGAAGGAACTGAGAGCCTTGCACCAGCTGACCTGTGTCCCTGTGCTGCCCGAGGGCTGTGGTGGGGACAGCTGACAGAGCCAGGCTGGGGAGCCTGGGGGCACTGAGCCTTCTGACTGCTGGGAAGAAATGAGGGACCCTGGGAGGCGGCACCCTGGAAGCCTGAGGGTCCCCCCAGTCCCTTTGGGGGTGGGATGGGCAGTCCCAGGGTCAGCTCTTGCTCGGTGAGTGCAGCTCCTCTGTCCTCCTGGGAACAGCAGGGAGCCCTGGGCTGGCTGCGTGGTGTTGATGTGATGTGCTTGTGCAGTGTGGGTGACTCCAGTCTAGACAAGCCCTGATCAAAAACAACCTCCCTGTGTGGAGGGAACTCCCTTTCCCTGACGCTACTTTTCTGTTTTCCTCCGAGAGCCTTCCCACAAGTACATCCCTGCTCCCCCAGCAGGGTCCTTCCCCCATCCCAGCCCTCCAGGCTGGTTGTTTAATATCTGTTGGTGTAAAACAAAGCTGAAGAAGTGCCAGGGCAGGGCAGCTCTGCCTCAGGGGTTGCAAACAAAGCTCTGCAAAGGCACAGGAGCTCCCGGAGCTGGGCAGTGAGGAACAGCCCAGGTTTGGGAGCTGCCTGCTTGATTTTCCTTTGGCCTGCTGCAGTGCCCAGCAACTGCCCCAGTTCCTGGCACTGCCTCGACAGCTCCTCTGTGTAGCCAGGAACGTGCCTGCTCCCTTCCCTTGAGATCTGATTGCGCCCCTTGGATGCAACTCTGGAAAAACCAGCCGGGCCACAATGCCGCAGTGTGCGGCTCTGGAGGGCAAGGCCGGCTGCTGCATGTTGGGAGCTTGGCTGCTCCATCCCCCGGCTCACAGCTGTGCCCGCTGCAGGATGGGCTGAGACCTGATCAGATTCGTGGCATGCCAAGCCACACGGAAACTGCAGGAGCTCCAGAGCCTTGTCCAGGCACGGCAGCCTGCTCCAGGTGTGCTCCCTGGCCCAGGGATGCTGGCAAGGGGCAGCCTGTGCTGGCTCCTCAGCCCCATGGGAAGGCAAAGCAGGTCCCTGGTCTGCTGTGGAGTTTGGGATCCATCCTAGACCTGGTCATGGCTGAATGCCACAGCACCCTGACAGTCCTGCTGCAGCTGCCAGATGGACCCTGCTGCCTTGAGGGTCTGAGCCCCTGGAGAGGCTGGGTTGGGCTCCTGAGAGGCTGGTACTGCTCCTGGGAGCTGAGGAGAGGGGAAGCAGGGTGCAGAGGTGGAATGAAACCTGTGTGCTTCTTTCTTGGTTCAAGGCTTGGCCTTGTACCTTGCCAGATGGGTCAGAGCTGGTAAGAGCTCAGTCCATCCTGTTTGGCGAGTCCCAGGAAGCCCCTCTGGTGTTCAGGGTGAGTCGTGGCCCTGGGCAGTGTGATGACTTGTGACTGGAGCGTCCACCCTTTTAAGTGGGTGACTCAGGAGATGGGGATCCAGTCCTGGTTGTGCTGGGGCAGATTTTGCTGCGGGCTGAAGCCAAGCAGCGCTGGCCTGCGAGGCATGGCTGGGACCTGATGAGAGCTGTCCTGTTCCCCGGCGTCAGCAGCTCCACGCACCAAGCACTCTGCCAACACGCCTCCCTTCCAAAATAAGCTGCTTCTGGCAGCACACAGCCAGGATTTGGCTTCCAGCCCTGCTCTAGAGGGGGCCCGGAGCTGCCTTCCCCAACCTGTGCCTCCTGGCTGTTTCCCACCGTGCCACGCAGCATCCTCCCTCCCTTCTCCTTGGCACCTGGGACTCGTGCCGATTCCACGGGCTTGGATTGTCCTGGTCCCATCCCCGGGTTTCTCCTCGCTCTTGGCTTCTTTCCCCGGCTGAGCGGGGCAAGAGGCGGGCGAAGGGCTGAGCTCCTCTGTGCCTGCAGCAGCTTCCAGGAGCGGGCAGCGGCCCTGCCAGGAAGGATGTTACTCATCCCCTAAACATCCCCTTCCCTGGACGGCAGCCACGGGAGATGCTGCGGCCAGATGGGCCCGCGGCTCAGGAGCCTGAGGTGGCTCCGGCTCGGGGATGTGCTGGGGGACACCGCTGCCATCGCACCCTCGGGTGGGATGTTGGCAGCCCCTGCCCCAGGGCAGCCCCGGCAGCGTGGGCCTTTCCCCCTGAGTGTGGTGTGCTCGCGGAGGCGCTGGGTGCCGGCCCAGGACGCGAGGAGGTGGCGGCGCTGGCCCGCGGGGCTCGGAGGGGACGGCGGGGACGCAGTCCCGGCTGGGGTCTCCGAGCGGCCCCGGGGGCACCGGCCGGGAGCGGGCACGGTCCCGTCCCGCCGGGGCGGCAGGGGGCAGCAGGAGCCCGGCGGAGCCGCCGAGCGCCGGTGCTCCGGTGCCCCGGCCGGAGGAGCCCCCGGTCCCGGCAGCGCCGCCGCCCAAGCTCCGGTGCCGCCGGCGCTGCCCGGTCCGGCCCGTCCTGCCGGGACTGCGTGGATCCAGATGCTCCCTCCAGCCTCTCTTTTTCTGCTCCTTCTGCTCCTCCTCCTCCGATCCCACCAGCGCTGCCTCCCCCTCTCCCTTTAATCGACGTTTCCGCTGAAATGTACCCGGTTCCACGGGTTTCTTTGATCTCACTAAGGGAAGAAGGGGGCTATAGAAGAAATTAAATCGGCGCAGAAGGAGGAAAGGCAAGAGGAAAGCACTCTCGGGGGAGGTTGTTAAATGTCGCCTCTTTCACACCAGAGCAGCAGGCAAGAAAGAACCTTTCCTGGCCGGTGCCTGTCCCGGGTCACCTGCGCTTGGCGCTGGCCGGGGATGCCCCGGGGCAGAGCAGGCGCTGGGGCGGCTCCGCTGGAGCCGAAGCCGCCGCGCAGGAGCCCCGGCCCCGCTCGAGCCTCGCTGGCATGCGGGGAGCTGGCAGCCGAGCCCGGGGAAGCAGCCAGAGGGTACGAGCAGCAGTTTTGTTTTCTGCCGCTTGCCAGGGTCCGCGCAGAGCTGCAGCGCTGCCAGGGACGTGCTCTCGAGAAGAGCTTGGCTGCTGAGCCCCGGGCCCTGCGGGGTGGCTGGCTCTTCCCCACCGGCCCTGGCTCCTGCTCAGGGGCAGCTCTGACCTGTGCCTGCGGGTGAGGGGGGTGTTCCTGGGTCCTTTCCTGCCGCGCTGCTCCCACGGCATTTCTCGCGAAGCAGAGCAGCACTGCCAGGCCCCCCGTGGCTGCAGGTCCCTCCGGTCACGGCAGGGATCACCGTGCTGCCCGCCCGTCCCGCCGCTGTCTGAGCACTGCCCGCTGGACACCCAGCGTGCTGCCAGCCAGCTCTGGGTGCCTGTGCCGGACACCCAGCGTGCTGCCAGCCAGCTCTGGGTGCCTGTGCCGGACACCCAGCGTGCTGCCAGCCAGCTCTGGGTGCCTGTGCCGGACACCCAGCGTGCTGCCAGCCAGCTCTGGGTGCCTGTGCCTCTCCCTGGCCCACTCTGCCCGGGATGCGCTGTGGGAGCAGCCTTGGTGATGGATGGCATTGCCAGAGCCCTGGTACCAGGGATGGGACAGAGGGACTCCGGGTGAGGACAGGAGAAGTGTCACTGACAGGACTTTCCTCACCTGGAAATAGCGTTTCCCTGTCCCTGCCAACATCGCGGTGATGCTGCAGCCAGGGGGGACAGCCCAGCCCGTCCCATTTCCTGAATGCCTGAGAACGGCACAGTGCGCGGGGGCTGCTGCAGGGGGGCTGTCCCTGGGGCACAGGGGATCAGCAGAATCCTTGCTGGGGTGCCTGTTCTCTTGCTCTCCCTTGGTCTCTCCACTCAGCCAGGCCCTCACATGTGTCTTGGACCCCCTCAGCCCCATGGTGTAATGCTGGGAAGCAGAAGGGCAAGGGGGACAGGGTTCCCAGGCTGGGGAGAGAGGTTTAGAATAGAGATGTGCCTCAGTCCAGCTCTAAACTGCTTGCTTTTTTTATTTTTTTCTATTTTAATATTTTGACTTAACATGACCTTGGCCAAATTATTTCCCCTCTGTTTGAGATTTATGGGCCTCTTCCAGAAATGATCTGTTCTGTCTATGAAAATAGACATCGTGCTGCTATTACATTTTAAAATATAATAAGGGTTGGGAGACTGCTCTTCTGCTGCTCTCC